AAAAAAACCAGCATATATATAAAAAATGTACAATGGAGAAAAAAAAAAAAAAAAAAAATGTAACATATTAACACAAAAGACACATATATAGAAAAGTACAATTGAGACTACATCGTGGGAAATTACATGTAATGATTAGAAAGGAAAAAAGCGTATATTTATAGAAAAAGTACAACGGAAAAGAAAACATGTCTACAAAATCAAGTAAGCGTTCTTTACTCTATCTAAATCTTTTGGTGTCTGCCAAATATTGTTGGACACTCAAGAACAATTTTTGATTTTGCTTAAAAGTTAAATGTGGAGAACAAGTTTACTTTATCAGACTCTGAAGTATGATGTTGAAAAAGCTGTGAGGAAAGCGAAAGCAGATTTTGACATTGGACGGCATATCGGGGACAGTGTAAGAAATAGTGAGAGATGGATTCAACAGATCCATCATTACATTCGCAAAAGCGGTGTAAAAATTTTAAGCACAATGACCAAGTCTAAGTCTAGTGTCTAATATAGATCAGTCTGTCTATTGAGAGTGGTATCATATAATCGATTGTATTCAGTACAAAAATTGCCACGAAGTTTAGATTTAATCGAATAGCGTTGTCTAATTTATTCCATTGTGGGATAACCGATATTAACTCGCCAAAAAGAGGRAAAAAAAATTTTTTTTTGCACTACGAAGTGAAGACCTACGAAGTATTTAGTCTTGTTTTGCCGACTTCATGACCTCAAAACAACCGCGCTTCTTGTTCTCTTTTCACTCTTCCTGGCGAGTTAATAGCGAAAATCTACTTTAGATATCTACTAAGAATATATTTCTTTCAAGAAAAGGAGATTTTTATCGTTATTTAGTGCGCTAACTTACCTTTTATCACTAAAATAATACCCGAATCCGCCATCTTTTTTTGCATTCTCGCATAGCTAAAACCCTGTAGAATGCCAGCCACAATGGCCTATTTGATCAAGTGACCTCTTAGTGCAAGTCGCCTATTAGAACCCAAGAGTTGCTTTCTGTTGACATACGTAAAACAGAAGGTAAACAAACCAACTTTCAAGGGTCCAAGGTTCACGACAATTCCCGCGTGTTTCTTTTCGGAGCGAATGAGAACAATTGCTAATTTACTAATACATATTTACTATTTTAAAATGCACTCAACAAAATTACTCTATTCTGATGGGACAAGGAAAGCAATTAAATCCCTTATAGTACACTCARCAAAATTACTCGACTCTGATTGGTCGAGAGGAGTACAATYATAGCGTTAATTGTACTCCGTAGGAGTACCGAATTAAGTCGCTATGGCAACACGGCCAAAACAATGTCAAAACAATTATTTTCTATCACTTTGTACTTAAAAAACATATAAATGAAATTTTAAAGCCGTAAGAACTAATCTTTTTTATGCATTTCAGTTGCGGGATGGACTAAAAATCGGCTGCCAAATAGACAAAGATGAACGGCGTCGCTTCGCATTTTTTACTGAAATTTTGTTGAGTGAACTAAAAAAAAAAATTCGCACGATCTTCTCGTACAATTTGGAATTCATAGACACTCGTAATGTTTTGAAAGTTCTTTAATTGCACTCGCCTTTAAATTGTACTCGAGATCGTGCGATTTCCTATACAAATTGTAACCTGTAGAGTCCCAATTAAGTTGTTCAATTTTTTGAATGTATAACAATATGTCGAACAATGTTCACGTACAATTCAGAATTTATAGATACTCGTGATGTTTTGAAAGTTCACAAATTTTGAAAACTTTCAAAACAACACTCGTGCCTATAAATTCCGAATCTTACTCGAGATCGTGCGATTTCCTGTACCAATTCAGTTTAGTACAATTTAAATAGAGAGAACGCAGGAACAGAAAAAAATACAAACAAAGTTTATGTAGGTAAAATTGGACAAACAAAAAAGCTTGTAAAATACTAGTTTTTCATGATGTATTCATAGTTAATTGCAAATAAACTAATAATTGCAAATAAACGTGCGTAAGATTTAAAAATCCGGAGCGAAACATAGAGAAGCTGCGTATACTGCGTGAACCTGAAAATAACATCTGACTTTAAAGTAAAGACTGCCAAAAAATATAATTTAAAAAACCCAGAGATAATAATTCATTAGTTTGATATCCTTTTAAACTACTACAGAACTAAATGGTAAAGAAATGTAAGTTTGAAGGGAAACAGGAAACAATTGAGTTATCAATGACGACAGGGCAGAAAAATGACAGAAAAAAAGCCTGCTACTTTCACAATTTCTTTATTCAACTGAGTTTAATACTCCAATTTGTTAAGCGTTTAATTTGTGTCACTGCTGCTCGAAAGGCTACTCATTAGTATTCACGAAAATCTCAGTTTTTCTGCTGATCAAAATATCAGAAACAGTAATGATAAAAAGAAAAATTATACATCGTGAAAAGATTTTTAAAAAACTGACGTTTCGGACTCTAGTCCTTCGTCGGAGTACTCCGACGAAGGACTAGCGTCCAAAACGTCCGTAAGTTTTTTCATCTTTTCACGGTGTATAATTTACCTTTTTATTATTATTGTTTCATTAGAAACACCGACGCAGCTCATACTAGTTTTTTAGCTAGTTATATCTTCTGCATAGATAATGATTCCATAATTATTCCATCTGCGTTTTTTAAAAATCTTCAAAGCCCATTTTTTGTTAAGGCAACGGCATTTATGACGGCTTCAGATACACAACAGTCCGCCATATTTGTTTTATTTTTGTGGTCTGTAATAATGCGCACATGCGTGAAATGAATATCCGGGACTTCCAGTTATGACTTTACCAAAATTAAATCATTTTGTCTAGCATAAGGAGCAAGAAATAAAAACTCTAGTTACAAGACTTCCCTAATGCCTTCAAGCATATGATTTTTTTTTTCTCTTGTTTTCAGCTGCCAAGCTGGATTGTGTCCAATATCCCTGCCCCAAAATGTCCCGTGGTATTCGCCATGCAAATCGTTCCGTGGTACTTCCCTGTTTACCCAGCGAGTACACTATGGGATCGAGAAACCAACCGAATCGATGCCATTTGCTCGTCTCAAGCATGGGATTGTTAGTCTCACAGCTATACTAATCAAAGATCCATTCCTGAAGTTCCATGCAGATAAATGGCGGGGGCTCGCTGTGTTTAACGAAGCAGCGAGATCTTCGTACATGTTGTCGAAAGTCTTTGCTCCAACAATTCCGACCATGAATGAGTTCTCGATTATTGCAGAGCATTTTAAAAGAAAACCGAAGCTTCTTTTACATGTAAGTTTTTTTTTTGATTTTGGGGGTAAGGGGCACAAAACCGTATTAAATTAGGCAATTGATGTACGATAACATCTACCTATTAAATTCGTCCTGAATCCATCATAATAGCGGAAGTAAAGTTGCACTTAAATTTTGTCAATACTAGACATGTATAGAAACTGACCTTTTCAAATGCAATAAATTTAAAATACTGATTTGTTTGATTTGAAGCAGTTGACTAAAATGACTTTCGTTCGGTTTGATACTCAGGGCTACGCAAAGATACCATCCGATCAAGAGCCATTTGACAAATCCAAGACGGATTGGATGTCAGATCAGCATTTTGCTGAACAAAGACTGGCTGGAACTAATCCAATGAATCTAAATAAGATAACTTTCTCTGGTGAAGGTAATGTCTTTATCATCATAATGTACTGATTTTGTCAAATTGCAGAAAACCGGGCGGGCCGATCTAATAAAGTGAAGACATGGCTAACTATTAGATCTATCTTGCCGGGTTGAGTAGGCTGGGGTTTGCTGCATGAGAGAGGAGACAACCAAATAACTCAAAGCAAATCCTCGAATAGAGGAAGACAAAAACAAGGGCATGAAAATTCAATAAAATGTTTTTTTTTGGAACATTATGGTATACTAGCAGTAAAACATAAATTATATTGATTTTAAGAGACATTTTATTTTTTCTATATAGTGGGAGTAAACTGGAATGAATTGAAATCAACATTGAACGAAAAGTTTGAATGGGAAAGCGTTGTCTCAAAAGCATTGAATGGAATGCCCTTTGACACGGTAAGGAAACGTCGAAAGCGTTCAATATTTCTAAAAGGCAATGCTGATAACATGCGCACTAAAATCGGTTGGTTTAGCAAGAAAATATATAAGTTTAGTGAAAATAGGCAGGTGATTATAGAAACTCTCGCGCGCTGATTGGTCAAGGAACTCACACTATCACACGATAATCACCTCGAGCGAAAATCCAAAATGGCGGCCTGCCGCTTTGTTGCTGTTACCGGGAAAAAATGTTTTTTATCTTTTTTTTAAAGAATCACCTGTGTATTTATACTAAAACAATTATTTGCCTCAGGCTTAGTGATCATTGGGGAATATTTACTTCGCCGCTAGAAGACTAGCCTGCGTCACATCCGGAATTTGTTTCGTAAATACCGTCTGCGAAACATCGCCAGAAAGCTTGTTCTGGACCCCCCGCAAATTGCGCGATTATATATAACAGATAAGCTGCAACGCCCTTGCATATAATAACTAAGTATAACTTAAAGCAACTACCTACGAAAGAGGTGCCTAGTGAACGCTTAATGAAGGATATCCACCGAGTAGAGGTCTATTTTACAAGGAAGCGGGACCGTGTAATCAGCTGTCCGTTTAATTAGAGTATCCGCTTAATAAGGGACGGCTTAAGATAGGTATCATTGTCGTATGAGGCCTTTGGGGCCTCTGAGTCCCGATGTCTCTATAACGATCGACTTTGATCTATTGCAGGCCATCGAAGAAGGACACCTTTATGTCCTACACCACCCTTATGGCGATGACTTGATGACGATGGCCGATGAGGTAGACAAGGATCCTAAAAGAAAGATGTGGGAATTCATGTCTCCGATTGCTCTCTTTGCATCCGTACCATCCAAGAATTCTTCCTCTGAGGCAAGACTGCTGCCTGTTGCAATTCAAATGGACCATGAACAGAGTATGAAAAACCTTTAGAACTAAAATTACCATTACAGATTATTTCTTTGATTGATGATCATACTCTATCAGCAAATCTGGCAAAATTACTATGAATTAGTAATATCACTGACAGGAATGGTCTTGGTTTGTTAGAACGCTTCATGCTACAGTATATCAATCATTATCATTGCAATGGTTTTTGTCCGTATTATGTGCGGTGCATGATGTTAAAATGCATGGATCTATTGAAACAACTTGTTTACTAACGGATTTTTTCAGGTTCTCCTGTCTATACCCCAAACGACGGTGACTTGTGGACCTTAGCCAAACTCAATGTTCAGCTCACAGACTTTGAGGTCAGCCAGATTGTAGAACATCTTAGCAAAGTTCACTTCATAGCAGAAGGATTGTGTGTAAGTGTGGAGAGACAGTTATCTTATCAGCACCCACTCTACGTCATCATGAGGTACCACTGCCGTGGAGTGCTTGTGGCTAACACATATGGTGGACCAATTCTGTTGGCAGATGACCAAAAGCTTGATAATTTATTCCCGTATGGTTATAAGGGATCCAACGAACTTGTAGCCAAGACTGCGAAGATGTTTGAATGGAGTGACATAAAGCTGGAAAACAACATCAAGGTAACATAGAAGATGGAAGTTTGCATTTAAATAATTATACTATTCATTGTTCGCCCATTGTTTTCCTAATTATTTAAACGGCTGGAGGCATCAACACATTGTTTGGATTTCGGATCGTGTTTGCAATAAGAGAGCAGGTGGAAATGCTATTTCATTGCGATACGGCTGCCTGCATTTTCAATAGGCTCTGGAAAGTTTTGAAACACTAACTTGATGGTTTTATTTGCTTACCATCTTCGTTGATCCAGCAAGGGCGCCGTAGTATCATAATATTAGGGTCTACTGAAATAGCTGACAGTCTACTGAAATAGCTGACAGCATTTGTAATAATATAGCCGGCGTGTATGATTTTGCTCTCAGCAATTTTTGATATAATGCAGCCGAGAGAAAGCAATAGACTGAGATATTGCATAGTATTTATGACAAATTATCACTTTGGCACACAGCCTTTGTAGGTTACCACATTACCATTACCCCCACTAATGCTGTGTGCCTCAGAATTATCTATTACATAATGTCGTGCAATTTATGCTTATTAGCCCGGAGCTTTAGTATCTTATTCTAAACATCTAAATGTTTTTATAGCGAAGAGGAGTAGATGACACTCGTCGCCTACCCTATTATCCATTCCGAGACGACGGAGCCGAGATAGAGAAGGCTATACGACTCATGATAACGGATTACGTGAATGCGTAAGCACAATAGCTAACAATACCTATTAATATAAACTATGAATATAATATAACAATAACATTTCAGGACTGTACAATGCTTCTTAATAGCAMGCGCGGAATCGTCGTCCCGACGAAGTAGCTTTTGATGTTCCATGACATTCCAAAGGCAAGTGTCTCGAAAATGTTTGCTTTTCGACAATATCATGGAAATACTTTGATTGACCCCTATCGCTACCCTTCTGCGACGGAAAGTTCTGCGCGTGCTATACTCGTTAGTCTCCTGAAAAGGTACAAAGCTGAGACCAACGAGGATTATGGGTAGATACACTATCCATGTTTCAACTGCTTCATAACTATATTGCTGGATTTGACATCTTTTACCAGTTACATTTTCAGCTTCTGTGAGCATCCTCAAACTGCAGTATGCATTAAAAGCTATCCAGGTGAACAGACTAGGCGCCCAAACCATGGTTTCCATTAAGAAAAAAGAATTAATCCCATTAACCACTGCACGCTCAATTCACTTGATTTTGGTGGCGTCCATGTTGAAAAAAGATAAAAATAAGCGACTTTCAAGCAAATAAACTTTTTCTTGTTGGAATGAGACACTATAAATAACAGATATGAGGCTTCACTAAAGTTCTAAAGCATCCTGGAGATTTCCAATGACCTAAGATCACTGAAAGATGTGGAGGTTGAGGTTAAATCTTATCAAGAAATCAAGAAAGTTTTTCGCCAGCTTCTTCAAGAGCAATTAATTCACTATTTTTCATTAAAATCGAAGGAAAATAACCTGACCGATGAAAGTAAATGTTTCTAGTCTCGACTGAACAACATTTAAAGTAGAAACATTTTGAAGCCTTAGAATATCGACTAATTGACAATTTCCCTTGTATTTTCCTTGTCCGCCATTTTGTTTTCCCCTACACATCAATATTTAGACGCGCAAAGACACAAGAGATTATTTTCCCAAAAAAGTKATTCGCGATTTGATAGATTGGCTAATCGTTTATACCCAGATCACCTGGTTGCTTGGATCATGAAATGTTTCTCAAGATCTTCTGCGGTCTCAGCTATACATGGTTTTAGTGACTAGCTTTGTTGAAATAATAGCGACCGCAAATTTTTATTTTAGCGAAAGTCATAAAATTTGATTCCAAATTGCTTGATTCTAAAGGTATTATCCTAGAGATCGTGATGTGAAAAGAGATATTGAAGTGCAAGACTTTGCAAGTGAGGTCTCAGACGAAGGAAGAATTTCAAAAGTCATGGTAAGAAAGACAGATTGAGCATATCAGTCCATTTCCCCTTCCTGAGTGCAAAAGGCTCRACGTTTTCATCCCTTCCCTGCATCTCACTTTACCTTTTGCAAACTTTCTCACCACGTTTCTAGTTTCACTTTTGCCGAAAACGAGATTAACTAAAAACTGTAATTTAAGTTTAATAACTGTTTCAGAACCATTATTCTTCAAAATTAAATTCTGATACTTTTTAATACGTTTTACACGCATATATATTTTATCTAACAGCTTCGCGGGTTTCCTGCAACGATCGACACCAAGGAGCAGCTGGTTGATACTTTCACTCAAATCATTTGGCTGATGACAGGCCAGCATGCGTCTGTCAATTATCCAATGATAGACTACGTTACGTATGTCCCCAATACACCCCTGAAACTCTACGATTCTGAAAGGATTCCTAATACCACATTTGGTCCTGAGAGGTTGCCAAACAGAGCACAATCAGCGGTAAGTCTTTAAATGCGTTCTTTAGCAAGTTTGTCGCTAATGAATGACTTTAAGAGAGGCTCAAGAGAGGCTACCAAACAGAGCATGTTTAGCCGTAAACGTGCACAATGTCTTTGGCAAAGGTTTTAGAAATGATATTGAGAACCAAGGAWTAAATCACATGTATATGATTCAACATAACCCGTTACATAAACTTTAAAAATAAACCCTTTGCCAAAATGGCGGCCGAAAATTGAAATTGTTAAATTACAGCGAAAATCGTTGCATCGCGACCCACCGTTAAAGTCCTGAATGGATTTTGGTCTTTTCCGCTGAGCCGTACAATTATCTTGGGTATATGCAAATGAAGTCTACGAACACGATCGCCCAACGTCGGCCATTAACTCATCTTTTTGCGAAACTCTAAAATGACTCAAGAATATGTCAAGCAGTTGCTATACAGAGTAGTTTTAAAGTTAAGAAACGGCTGATCAATCAGCTGAATGTAGGTAAAGTCCAGGAAAGGGGAAAAGCCTTGAGCGGTGAGTTTCCAAAGCCTCGGATTTTAAAGCCTAAACATTCAGTTTCTGAATTCTTTGGAATTTAATGCAACTCGGATGAAACACTATCATCGGCACATATTTACTAGTAGTTTGAAATCTATTGTCTTAATAACTATAAAATTTGCTTACAAAAGCATACACAGATTACTGTCAAATTTTTTTTTCGGTAAAGCTACTCAAAATATTTACCTCGTCCATTCTGAGAATAGTACAAAACATTTTGCTAACTAACTAACTATTAAAAAGAATCCCAACACAATATCATGAGCACTCTTTGATGCTATTTTTAGAATAATTCATTTTATCTTTTTCCAACGGGCTCTACATTGTGTTTGCTCATATCGTCATGTGTTTTTCGAAAACAAAAAACAAAAACCGTAAACAAACAGTTGTTTAGAGCGCGCGCAATATGCGCGTGCCGGAAACCAAAGGATAGCACACGTGATTCGGAAAATAGTATCAAACGATGTCTATGATAATTAAAGGCACGAATACCAGAGATTCCTTCTCTTGGTTCATTTTCTCTTGATTTACAATCGAATTTTCAATTTCTGTTTTTAGTCTCAAGCCTCCTTTGGCGCGAGCCTTGCTACGTATCGTGAGGATAGTCTCTTCGACTACGGCAAATATCTCAAAGACGGCAAAGGTAGAAAAGTGGTGTCTCGATACTACAATTACCTAAAAGATGTAGTGGATCCGCTTTTGGAGATGAGAAATCATAAGAGGCTTGTTGAAGGTCACCTGACCTATCCCTACATGCAACCAAGATGGGTGCCAAATGGTATCCAGACTTAAAAAAATGTATGCAACTTATTCAATTGATGAGAACGACAACCCAAAGAAATTCATAATATGAAAATTAATGTTATTTTAACGGATAAAGCCAATAAGTATATGTAATAGGACTCCATGCTGTCCAATTAAGAAATAATTAGACGAGGAAAATTCCGAGGACTTCCAAAATTGGATGAGGCCGTAGGCCGAGTCCAATTTGGCAGTCAGAGGAATTTTTCGAGTCTAATTATTTCTTGATTGTCCAATTTCCTGTCCAATTAAGAAAATAATTGGACAGTTACCTATATGGGATTATTGAGAAGCTGTATAATTATTATTATAATACACAGGTCAGGCCTTTTCGATATGGGATTAATTAGACAGCTATATAATTAATAGGTAATGGGATTTCATGCTTCCCAATCAAGAAATAATTAGACTCGAAAATTTCCTCTGAATGCCAAATTGGACTCTGGCTACGGCCTCATCCAATTTTGGAAGTCCTCGGAATTTTCCTCGTCCAATTACTTCTTATTTATTTCTTAATTGGACAGCATAGAGACCTATTACATAAACTAATAATAATAATAATAATAATAATAATAATAATAATAATAAAAATAAAATTTATTCAAAAGAGCTGGTAAATTTGTGGTTTCACAGTCTGTGTTCAATGTGAAAAACAAAACATTCTAGAATATTATAGAACATTACTCCCGCCCCCTCCCCTCCCCGATTATTTAACACACATTGGATATAGTTCTCCGGTTTTCAACCGCTAAAGTTCCAATTCGATCTTTGGGCTTTAATGTAACAAGAAGCTTGGAACTATGTTTGTGAGTGTTTTTCATCTATTGAATTCCATTGCCTGGCTCGATTGAATCTAATGCTGAGTGAGGCTTATGCGAATAAAGCAGCTTATCATTCATTTTCTTTTAATCTTTGATGTCTAGGAAATATTCGAAGTATTACTTGAGGTTTACCAAGTGACTGCTAAGGTGCATGAAATATGTGCTCAGGTGCTTGCTTATCTTTTATTTCACCTGTGCGATTAAAATCATCCTTTGAAGGTTCACTCTTAATCATAATAAAGCTTGCTTCTCATTGGATGATTGGATCTCGATGTTTTCTTAATCTTTGCCCTTCTTTAATTTATTAGACGCACGGTTTGAATGACACCCATACATTTTCGCCAACATATATATTACAATAAACACTTTTTTTGTAGATTTGTCATTAAAAGGAAAAACCATTAAACTTATTGTCTTTTTTTTCAAATGATTAGACTTTAAAAACATGTATGAACTACGAGTGCTCTTACTACAATAACAAAACAAGTATACTTTTTTTGCTCGTTCGTCATGCTAGTTTTTGCTCGTTTTCCGGTAGTCGTAGCTGCTATCTACAAATAAACAAAATAGAACATGTGCTAACCTCTATCTGCACACTGTGTCGAAGACTTTTTTTTCATGATTTCTTCCATGATTTTTTTTTCTTTTTTACAATTTTCCAAAAGAAAAAAGAAAAAAAAAAGATAGTTAAAAAGCTCGCGTGATTTGAAAGCTCGACCAATCAGAAACGCGATGTACACCTGACGAGCGACACTTTTAGCGTTACGCACAGAGTTCCCATGCGATCATCACGAAAACTTAATTGGATAGTTAACCACATTCTATAACTATGGTGCTCCACGGGAGGTCCGCTAACATTGATTTATCGTTAACATTTTAATATTTTAATTTTGAGGACACTTCTGTAAACCACTGATTGTGACAGTGGTAAACACAATAAAGATGATTTATTATTAATGTTCATTGCAAAGTTTTAAGCCTTCGTTCTTGAAATAAASTATCGAAACGAATTACGCGTTGCCTACACAACGTAAAATTTCCATTGGCTGAAACTAATCGATCTGTCAACGAGCTGTCAAGGTGAAAAGGTAATACACTTCACTGATCCAGCATCTTACTGGTAAGCTTTAGTCATACGTTTATTCAAAGCAAAATCTTTATCGAAAACCGAAACGAATGTTTTTAGTTTTTTAGTAACAGACTATATTAAAATACTATTATTATTTTCATTGCTGGGATACCTGTGGTATACCAGCTGTAAGATGTCTTTTTTTTTTGTTTTTTTTTGTTTTTCGTTCTACGCGACAAAATGGCAAAGTTGCGCAATAGTTACCCAGGTGTCTTCAGGAACTTACCCAAGAGACCTTTGCGGGTATCTGCTATATGGTTCCCGTCTATAGTCCAATCATTTATCATGTACCAGATGTCAATCAATGCCACTATGTTGTCGAGCAATTATGAGAGGGTGGAGCTAGCAGATCACGTGGAACAGGTTAATGTCTACGTATGCTCTAATTTCGTCGACCACCGTAATTCAAGACAGCCGAACTAGAAATATTAAGTTATGAATGTCGTAAAGAAGGAGAAGATAGCGAGGATTTCGAAGGATTATTTCTAAGAATTTTCAATGAATTTCATGGGAAAAAGCTTGTTTTGGTTAACTGTTCATGATTCATCTACTCGAACAGTATTTTCTTCACGAACAAGCGAAGATCGATGAGGAACAGGGTTACGATAACAGAATTACGATAAACGATAGTATAAAACAAATTCATTTAGCCTGACTCGTTATTAATAATAATAATAATAATAATAATAATAATGATAATAATAGTAATAATATAATAAAAGCTTTATAGATTGGTTTACATAGTGCCTTCCTAAAGATATAAAATACAACAAAGCAAGTTATTCTCTTGAACTTGACAATATAGTCTTATAACCTATATTTATGTATTGATATTAACTGTTTTGGCTTCAAAGTCTACTCACTAAGGAACATGAGGTACATAGCAATATTTATTTTAAGAAGCAAAACAAATAATTTGCTAAGCACATTCCATGGCTTGATATTTACCGTTCGAAGCATTATGATCTCTAATTTTTCTTCAAAAAAAAATGACGATTCAATAAAAAATATCGATAAATTATAAAATTATAAAATGTAAAGCAAATATGAGAGAGGTTTTGAGCAAATATTAGCCTTTAGCATATACCAGCTTGTGTACTTCCTAAGAACGCGCGCGCTCATTGGTTAATTGGAGGCGTGAATATTGTACGATATTCACCTCTGAATATCGGAATATTGAGTCGGCAACAAAACAGCATCTGCCGGCAATCGTTTTGTTACAATTTCCGATGAGGAAATTGAAAAAAATGAAAGTAAATTCAATTCCTATCAATACTAAAAAGGCAACGAAGTATGCCCTAAAAGTTTTGCTAACACTTTTGCGTGGATTTGTCTTGCAAACTGCAAGTCTCTGTTTGTTTGTTTTTATTGAATTATTGTATATAAAAATAAGCTACTCTGTACACAAGTTGGTATATGCTAAAACAATTATTCGCTTCAAGCTCAGTGAATATGGAGAATATTTACCTTGCCGCTCGAAGACTCGCGTCTCGGTAATTATTCCCTGATATTCACTAGTCTTCGCCTTCGACGAATAATTGCTAAGTATTTACGTTTTAAGGCAGTTCAGGACCGCTCCCTTGCTACTGTGCATCAACATTTTCAACATTTTTACAACTACACACGCATATAACTGAGCCGAATTACAATCAATTTTGCTTCTAGAATTAACTTTTCACACTACTTGCAAAAGATTGGATGGATTATTTATCTAGATATGTTTTCTAGACTCAACACCTATAGTTTAAAACAGTTTTCTGTTTTTCTTTGTTAAATCGAATTATTTCGTAATTCAAATTAGAGGAGGCAGATTTTCGTCAAAAACGCGCTGAAAACTGAAAAATCCCTCCTTTTTGAAGCATTATAACTCGATAACCAATACGGCAACCCCCTTCTCTTTTTTCATTATTTGAATGCCCTAACAATGAACTTCAAATGACAGAATTTTAACACAAATCATAGAAGAATTTTGAAGATCCGGTACTACCTTAAATGAAGCATTTTGATTTTAAAGCGAGCCGTGCGAATTTGCATGCTTTTGAAACGTGTTACTAATTACGTATACCAAAATCAGGAACCCGGAACTGGAATTGGAGTTCCAGATTGAGTTATTCGATGAGTTTAGTGAGTATGGCATAAACGCTCTGCCTACAAACAGGGTCTAGTTTCTTTAAGGTTATCATTGATTTATCGTTAATATTTTAATATTTTAATTTTGAGGACACTTCTGTAAACCACCGATTGTGACAGTGGTATACTCAATAAAGATGATTTATTATAAATGTCCATGGCACAGTTTTAAGCCTTCGTTAAGTCGGAGGGTGTGTGTGTGTGTGGGGGGGGGGGGGGGGGGGGGGGGGGGGAGGAGGGGAAAGGGGGAGCTGAGTCCCCCGCCGATACTTACTTATGAATTCTTTTGGCTTTTACTTGCAGTGGTTTCTAANATTTCTAGCAAAAAAATAGGGGGGTCTTGAAAGTTGAAAGTGATATTTAGAGGGGTCTTTAGAAAAGTTATTTTTCTTACATATATGAATTCAGTAATGATAAAAAAGGTAAATTATGGCACTGTGAAAAGATGAAAAACTTACCGACGTTTTTTTTACTACGAGGTAGGAACAGCGTCCGAAACGTCAGTAAGTTTTTCCATCTTTTCACGGTGTTATAATTTACCTTTTTATCATTACTGTTTTATTAGAAACACCGAAGCAGCTCACACTAGTTTTTAGCTAGTTATCTCTTCTTATATATGAATTCAAGTTTTTTAATCTTTTCAATGAAGTTTTCCTTTCGGCTATTAAAAAAATTGCATTACACTCCAGGTACAGACTCAAATGATGATGATGATGATGATGATTATGTTGTTGGAACATTTGGCAGTGATAATAAGTGAGGTAGGAGTTTTTGTGACTTGCCATTACATTGCTTTACACCACTCATTCACGTAATGGGGTTATTTCTTTCTGGAACCTTCAAGTTTTTCACGTACATAATCAGTCTCTCGATCGATATGGAAATTGCTAATTTTTGATTTGAATCGGTTCATGTGATCAATACCCCTTATCGTAGTTGAGCACGCCACGCCAACAAACCAGCGGTATTGTGATTAGAGTAGCATTAAAACGAGACTATCGGGTCGAGCTTCGGATAATTTCCTAAGAAATGTACTACAAATTTTCGACTGATCACAACGTTTTGATAGATATCTTTGTTATACA